AGACCCGTCGCTTTAGAAGAAGTAGGAAAACGCAATGTAGAAATAAAATTAAGCCTTACCGGCCTCTTTAAAAAGCGTAGCAAATCGTAGTCTACGTGAAAAATGCAGCAAAAAATCTCTAGAAAACTTCAGCTGCCAAAAAGCCTTCAAAAAGCTGCCCATTTTTGCGCGCTTCACCCCCTCTCGGGAAGCGGTTCTCGTAAATGTTTGATGGGCCAAACTAGGCATTCATAGTGGGGTGGTCCAGGGCCGCCAAAAACGAAAAGCTATGGTTATAGAAAGAGGAGAGTGAGGGAGAGAAAAAGAGGGAGAAAGAGAGAGAGAGAGAGAGAGAGAGAGAGAGAGAGGGAGGGAGAGAGAGAGAGAGCTCCGGCAAGTGCCTGAAGTGTCGAGGAGGAGATGGCGTGCGAACAACGCATGAATGCATAATAAGGGGCCAAACGGTGGGGCGCGAGAAGGTGGCGGAGGAGAGAAAACTGGGCCTTGGGCGCCGCCGAATTCGACGAATTCGGGGCCCGACTTGAAAGTTGTTGAGGCGAAGTGGGGGCCGCGGGGGGCCAGGGGCTGAAGGTGAAAATAAGATTTCGAGGGCCGGGATGTAGCTCTCTCTTTTCGGAATGGGGGGGGGGACGTTGAAAGCTTTTTGGGCTAATTTTTGGGAGTTTTGTCTGTGTTCGAAAGTTGTTTGTGAGATGCTGTTGTCCTTGGACACGATTATGCTGTTAATAAAAAATGTTTAGCTTTGCCGTGAGAGAGAGAGAGAGCGAGAGAGAGGGAGAGCGAGAGCTTAATAAACAATATTTACTTTGCCTCCAGGTGCCCAGAGCCCCACGCGATTTGGCCCCTTGGCCCTTTCCTCGTTTTGGCCCTGGACAAAAGCCAAAAAATCAAAGAATGTCCTGAGCGCGGAGACCAAATATGGGCCCCGCTTTTTGTTTTTTTCGCGGGAAGCCGTGAAGGGAATTTGAGTGAAGAAATGAGCACAAATGAGGGTGGTAGATTAGGTAGAAAAATGTAAATGTACTAGACACCGAAAATTTCCTCCCTCTATCTTTCTCTTTCTCTCTCTCTCTCTCATTCTCTCGCTTTCGCTCTCGCTCTCGCTTCGTATTTTTTTTATTTTAATGGTTACCGAGGAAAACGAAAACAAAAGGGTCAAAGAGCGACGGAGAGAGCGCGAATAAGAAGTGAGAGAGCGGGAGAGAGACATCGACGCTGTTAGCGAGTAAGAGTTTCGAATAAAACGCTATATAGCCCGAATCTTGCAGTACAGTACCTTGAACGTATTCAAACGTTGATAGGACGATATGCTGCCACCCGACTTTCCCACGGTTCGGTGATTCAACCCCTCCAGCGCTCGGGCGGGCCCCATAAAAACGTCTGGGCGCGTTGTTTTCGACGGGATGCCCCCGTACTGTACTGGACATGAAAGGACCAAAGCCCAGACGTAAATAGAAGCTTGTGAAATCGTGGAAATTGACTCACAGATTTGTGGAACCGTAAAGGAAGAGGGAGAGAGAGCGAGAGAGAGATTTGAATTTAGGCCTCCAGGTCCCGGTTTTTTTAGATATTTGAGGGAAGCCTGCAATCGACAAGTGGTATCGAGCTTTTGCATCTAATAAAAAAGGGTATGTGTTCTCCAATTTAAAGTTGATTTTCTATCCAATTTATTTTATTAAAGTTTAAATTGGCCGATCCAGGCCGAAAGTAGATTACCCGAGTCACGCATGGCTAACCCTGGTGGAGGGGTAATTTTGGGTGCCGGCTGTCTGGTCGAATCAAATCCGAAATGGATCATCGGACAGCGCAGCGACTATCCGATCGTCTGGCTCGACTTGTTGTGTAAAGGGGTATATCGGAATTTTACAAAAAATCCTTGATCTGGAAAGTTCCTGAAAGGGAAAATTTGTCTGCTTTTTTAGCATTCGAAATTTATTATGTGTAGCTGTAAGAGCCAAAAAAATCGTTAAAAAAACCAGATTAGGCTTAGGCTATATTTAGGCTATATTTAGGCTTCAACTGAGACTCAGGAATTTAGAAATCTGCCTGGTGTCTAGGTTCTATTTTCAGCCCCTAAGAAAAGCGGCAGGTACAGGGCCAACGTTGATAGGTACATTGCGTGGGTCGCTCGTTGCATTTTCTGGCAGCAGAAGCCGAAACGTTTACCTTCTTCAACCCAATGACCGCCCCCGCGAAACGCGATTAGACGGCCTAAGTACCTGGCGGGGCGGCCCAATCACCTAATGCCCTGTGAAGAAGGAGCGTAACACCTTTGGTAAACTTCATAGACGGGGAGCGTAGAAAATGGGGAAATTTTGAGAACACTGGCCGGCTGGCACTATATCTTCAAAGAAACTGGGCAGCGTGAGAATTCTGTCGTCGGCCGGGTATCGAAAAACCGCTAAAATCGAGATGCTACAGTAGCCCAGCCATCTTCACGCCCGTTTTTTTTGTTATCTTAAGGTGCGAAAATAGTAGAAAATCGCTAAAACAATATGCTAGCAATTAAAACACCCGGGCAACCGTATAAAACAGCAAAAAAACGGGGGCCGCTTCTCCGTCGCCGGGGCCAAAAAAACCGATAAGTGATAGCGCCAGATTCTAGGGTGGGTGGAGATTTATGGGGGGTTCTTGTGGAATTCCGCAAATGTTCTGCAGTTTTAATTCAAAATCTAAACCGTAATTATGGTAAAAACCCAATAATGCAACTTCCTGAAATGATCTGCATTAGAAAGATTGCTGATGATGTGCGATAGAGAGACAGCGAGAGAGAGAGAGAGAGATAGCCCGCGAAAGAGAGTCCCAGAGTTACAGAGCATTAAAAGGAACGCGGAAGCGTGTGCAGGGAAAGGCAAGGAAAAGCGTTATGTAGCCCAGGCATCGATCGAGACCCTTTCATACCCCCAGGGCCCCCAGCCATTCCCCCAACACCGACCCCACAACTCCAGCAAAAGCCCGTCGACCCCAGCCGGGTTGGCAGCAGTAGGGAGTGGCGGGGCCTCCTCGCCCTCAGGGCCCAAGAGGGCCCACAAATGCTTATTTTCCCTCTTGGGCTTTTGGTTTGACACATGCAATCTGGGGGATTGCAGCTGTGGTGGTTGTGGTCTGGGCTTTTAAAGGGAGAGAGACAGATAGAGAGATGGAGCAGAACATTTTTCATGAAGAGCAGAGAGAAAGACGACTAGAACGAGAGGGTGAGAGAGAGTGAAAGAGAGATATTTTCGCAAGTTCGTGAGCTTCATCTTAACAATGCAGTAAGCTTTGCAAAAAGCTGCCTTAAAGCTACTGGGAAGCGCCAAAATACACCCTCTAGGCGTCGACAACTACACGTTGTTCGAAATGACCAGAAATCGTCCATTTTTCTATCATCTAGCGCACCTTTTTTCCACAAAATAAGCCCTAAGGTGGAATTTGGAGCATCCCGTAGCTGTCAACACCTAGCGAATTCCTTGGCATCGATTCTGACGCTTCCCATGCCTTTTTAAGATTAATTGGGCGTTTAGGCTCGGCATATCCAGACTTTCGACCTTGATGGCACTTTTCCAAAGAGGCTTGTGGTATGACGCCCACACGAACAGATGTTCTATTAAACGACCATCCAAACATGTTGTGGCCAATCCGGCAACGCCGAAACGTTTTCGGACTCTCGATTTTTTAGCAGATTTCTAAAACCCCAAATTTTTATTATCTTGACTTTTCAAAATCGCGAATTTGCAGGATCTAGAAATGTTCCGAATAGCGCAATTTGCATAAATTTTCTTATGGCCCTGCAAGCCTAGGCCCTCTATCTTTAGAAAAGACAGTTTAGAGAACCAAAATGCAAAAAAATTCGGTATTTTGAAAAACTCCGATACCTCGAAAAATTGGTTTTGAGAATTCGAGATCCTGATCTTCTAGACAGTTTTTCTAGGTCCGGTTTTTCGAGATTCTGACAAGCTCGCCCGCGCGAAAGCATGGCACAAAATCTGAAATTTTCCTAGCGTTTATGAGTTAGCACAGCCGACGTTTTCCAGGAGGTATGTCATCACGCAAAATTCAGGCCAAAAAAAGGAATGTTGAGCGCTTGCAATAATTCCTTCAAAAATCTGGACCCTAGTTCCTAGGGGTCAGCAAGTCCAGGGCTAGGCGTCGCCCAGATTGACAGCAGACGGTGGGAGTGCTTGAGGGCGTGACGTCTTCGGAGAAGAAGCTGCGATAACTCCCCTTCCAGGCTGCCAGATAAAACGGCATTACGTGGCTTCCGTTCCCGGGCTGTGAAACGGAAGTCGGAGTAAAACGCGAAGTTTCAAGGTTTTGAAAATGAGAAGTCGTGCATTATAATGCCGTTTTTAATGAATTGGCCGGTCATTAAGTTGCTATATTTAAATTTACATCAATCAGCTTGAATTTTCAATTTTAAGCAAGTTTCTAGGGCAAAAATATCGTATTTTGTCGGGATTTTAGCAGTTAATAAGATTTTGCGTATACGTTCATATTTGAGCCGGAATTGGGTTTTGTATATAAGTTTCTGTGCGATCTCATGGGTCAGCTTCGAATTGTATATTTACATCTTATCGCTTTAATTTCAGACTATAACGCCCTGAAAATTGCGTCAAAACGTCAAAGAGCATGATACAAGCCCAAAAATGCAAATTTTGAGATTTTTATGTTAATTAAACTTGAAAATGTGTAATTTTATGTCTATGAAATCCCAAATTGCGCTGATCGAACCTCGTTTATTAGCACGCGCACACGAAAACACACGTCGCATCCAGCGACCTCACAAGCACACGATGTAAGGGAAAATGCAGAGCAACACGAAAGATACGGTGACATGGTGATGACGTAGATGTGATGGGGGTGGAATTACAGTAGCATTTTGGCAAAGCGCAGCATTTTCAAGGAATATATTTAAGTGGTATTCTGTAGCAAACGAAATACACAGCTTTTCTAGCATTATTTGCAACTATAATCAATCAGGGTATTGCCTCGGGGTCGCTTCCTAGACGGCATCTCGGTTACCGTACCTTTTTACGGTACTCGGCCAAGATTTTCTGGGCTCGGTCACGGATCTCGGCGCGGGACCGGATACGGTATTTGAGGCACGGTTTGACGATGTCGCGCATTATCTGAAATTTTGGAATAATCTCTGTTAGGCTCCTTGGATTGCGTCTGGGCTTTGGCCTAGGCTTAGGATTGGGCTTGGGTTTGGCTTATGCTTCGGCTTAGGCGGCTAGGCGGATTCGGCTTAGCTTAGGCTTAGCTTACACCTAGCTTAGGCTTAGACTTCTGCTTATTCCTAGATTTAGGCGCGCTATCTTAAAAACTCACATCCTTATATTCCTCTTTGCTAATCATCTTATCGTAATACCACTGCACCACAATGTCCTTGGTTTTGTCGTGGATTTCTTTCTGGAAAAAACCTCTTAAGGCTTGCGGAAAACGAAATACCTTATATTTTTCCGCAAAAGATCTGCGCTCTCTTTCTTTCGGCTCCTCGATATATCCGAGGTCCAGGTTTTCAAAAGTTGACTAAAAAAATTCAAGAATTCAAAAATGCAAAGCTATTTCAGACCTGTTCGGGATCCGGAGGAAAACCAGGGTCGAGTCCGGGCATTGCACAGCGCTCGAGGGCTGAAAAATGAAAGTTCCGTTAGGCTTAGACTTAGGCGATAAGCTTCGACTTGGGCGGAGGCTTGGGGCTAGCCTTAGGCTTAAGCTCAGGCTCAGGCTCATGCTTAAGCTTAAGTCATTTCCAACCTTGTCTAAACGATGCCGTCTTTGCTTCCAATGATTGCTTCGCGTTATATCCGTTTGGCATAAAATTCTCGAGCCCCGATTTCGCGTTACTGGTGCTGCTACTCGCGACCGGGGCTTCTTCGGTGAAATCGATATCCATCTAAAAAAAATGATTTTAAGATTAGGAGAGTATACTACACATCAGAGCTATTTTAATAACAAGGCAAATTATTAAATTATGCAAAATCCGTTCGATTTTTGTATTCGCTTCTAATACCGCAGACAGGCGAAACCTTTTTGGTATCGTTGCCAAGGTGCGGGTAATTATGGTCGGGCCAAAAACTACCCCTTGCCCGGGACCGGAAATTTCCAGAAAAAAGCCAGCTACTACAAATCCAAATTCACGGGTCGAAGTGGACTACAATACCGGCGCCAAAAGCTAGAGGTATTGTCAAAAATTGGGTAAATGGGTGACATTTTAAAATACGATAAACCCCCACATCGCTTTCACAAGGGGATGGTGGCGAGGCATCTGGGAGTTGGGAGCTAGCGTCAAGTGATGCATTTGTCAGTTCAGCATCCGCCGATTGGGAGGTTGTTGGCGAGTTGTTCTCCTGCAAGGCGATGGTTTTCGAGAAGTACTCGATGGATTTCTTTGCAAAAATGGCCGAAAATGATACACACTTCCCCAAAAAGAATATTTTGTTATGTTTGACGCTGCCGTAGCTCCAGGATAAGCCGATTTAGACTTACATTGCCTGCCTTGCTCCGCTTCTTCGACTTCTTACCCGATTCGTTGGCTGATGGCAACTGAAAAGTAATTAAGAGTGCAACTGATTTTATTTTAATCTTACATTAAAGCTTCGAGTCAGCGGTAAACTTTTTGAGCTGATTTTAAACGAACCGGCTTGCCAAAAATCGACGGCGCCACCTCGAACTCTTCCCCTTCTGAAGAAGATTCGTCGATAGCTTTCACGCGCTTGCTGGCAGCCCGAGGATCGGTGCTATCGGATTCTAAAATTCGAAAATAACTGGCTGAAATCTTTAGTGAAATGTTGGTACTTTAGAAAAACCAACTTTTCCTCTCCTCCCTCCTTGGCTCCGATCTTTCCACTCGACGTCTTCCAGAATCCGGGCGGTCTCGAGGGTCTCTCGCTTCTCTGGAATCTCGAGTGCGATCCGGAGAGCGTTTTCTAAAGTTTTCATGTTACGGTGAAATGCAGGATCAATTGTTACCTGTCTCTTACATCTCGGTCTCGTGGATCTCGCGCATCCTTTTCGCGTCTATCGTCCTTTCGATCATCCTTCCGGTCTTCTCTTCTATCGTCTTTCCTCTCATCGCGACGCTCGTCTTTTCGATCGTCTTTTCTATCCTCTCTCGGCTTCTCCTTCTCTCGATCTCGCCCCCGATCGGCTTCTCGTGGTCGTCTACTGTCAGTTCGGGTCCTGAACCTCAATATTCAACCTCGAAAGCTGCTGCTTGTTATTACCTCGGGTCTTCCCTTGATCGCTCGCGCTCCTTTCGACGATCCGGGGAACGTTGTCGAGATGCTGAAATCAGGACTATTTTTTAATTTATCAAATTCCGGACATGGATAAAGCCACTTTTTCTTGGCCAAAGCCACAGCCACTAACTCTCAACAAATAGGGAGAAATGTATCTTACAAAACTAGTGGTTGTCCTCATCTAGGTACTTACACTTTTCCTGATCCTTCTCGCGCTCCTTCTTCGCCGAAGTGCTGCTCCGGTTGGCTACAAGAAAGGATTTTATAGATATAGATTTGAATCCAGAACAGCTTTTAATAAATTGTACGTGCTTAGCATCACGCCAAACCCAGGTGAGCTAAAACTGCTGGGCTAAAAAGATCACGTGCAACTTCATTGGCAAGAGTCAGGATTTGCATACATTTCGGTATGCTAATTTTTTGAATCACCTGTTTCCTGAACTCACCGGAATTCCTGGCCGCGATCAGATCCAACTCATTGGTCACCGTCTTTCCTTGTGGGCCCATTTTCTCGCGACCAGCCGAACTGTTATCTGAAGCTTCGAATACCACCGTATACGTTTAATAGAAAACGAAGAGTGTAAAGTTGATTAATGAAGCCCTGGAAAAGTTTAGCCAGAGCCAGCCGGGCCATCTGGCACCGATGCTCTGTGCGGAATCCGGCGTTTTTTTCGGAGGTGGGTCTAAAAAAGATGGATACAAATGTGCCTGGGGCCCTCGGACCACCACTCTTGTTGTCTGCCCGCGTACACTGCAGGTACTGCCCGGGAAGGAGACGGTAGTAAGGACGTGGTTTAGGCGAGGGCAGCGAACAGAACGTTAAAAAAACGTTCGGGAGGCAATTAGCAATCAATCGCAGCTGTTGGTATCGATCTTTAGAAAGTTTGTGATTTGGATGGATTACTGGTAAGCCAGTGTTGTCGAAGATTTGGAAGCTTACGGCTATATCGAACCAAATCAGCGAAAACAGGAAAACCTTGGACTATTGAACGCAAGTTTTTGGTCGTATCGATCCACGCTGTTGGTATCGATTTTTATATCAATGCACTAATGATAGTCATGCTAATTCGAAAGTGTTTACGGACACATCTCTTCGTTGACCTTGTTAGGTGCAGAAACTGCTGAGAACGAATGCTTTTATTTGACAAAAAACACGGATAAAATCTTTTTGACTTTTTAATGATAGTTTTTCCAGTGCGATAGGGTATAGATCAAATTCACAATGTTCAGCCCCTGGAAGAAGAGCTGGGCAAAGAACGACCTTGTGAAGACGTACTGCTCAACTCGGGCAAGGAAAGTATGCCTAAAACTGAGAGTTTACAAATTGTCTTTAGTTCCAGTCCGGAAAATTGGTGACAGTATGCAGTGGCCCACTTCGGTTTCCGGTCCATCGGTCTGCTAGCGCCATTTGAAAGTAGTGCGATACTCACACACCCAAGCGCTATAATCGCGGTGCAGATGATCACGTAATACCCTGAAAATATAAAGTTATTAACATATGCATTAAATTTATAAAAAGTTATATATAAGTAATAAATTTTCGAACAGATTGGAAGAATTCAATTGGAACACAGCGAAAAAATCGCCAGTATCGCTCTCACACTCTCTCTCTCTCAATCTGGCTCTTTCTATCTTTCTCTCGCTCGCTCTCTCTCTCTTTCTCTCTCTCGCTCTCTCTCGCTCTCCCTCTCTCTCTCTCTCTCTCTCTCTCTCTCTCTCTTTTTCTCTCTCACTCTCTCTCACCCAAAAGTGGAAAAGCTGCCGTCTTGTGTATCTGCTGCGACGCCAAGTCTAACATGACGGTCATCGCCATCATGCTCGCCAAGCCGAGGCCCATCTTAGATGATTTTCCTAACTTTCTTTTTTTGAACCAGCTGACCTTCTCCAACTTGTTCTCCCTAATGTTCGCCGACCAAAACATGCCAAAATTCGCGAGTGTCGTCAGCAAAAATGAGGGGAAAATAACCACAAATACATAGAACAGCGGCTCTCGATGTAAGACGAAAACGAAGCCAGCCTCAAAATTATGAACTTCAGCTTATTTTAAAAGTTCTACCATGGTCAACTCCTCTGGTACGCCTGTCAAATTGCTGGAGATGTTCAGGAAGCACCACTCACTGTTTCCCTGAAGGGTTTCTAGGCTTAGACTTAGGTTCAGGCTTAGACTTAGACTTAGGCTTTGCTTGGCCCTTTCTTACCTCATAAACAGACGGATCCATTGTTGGAGAAATCCTACTCTCCATTGTCAACATTGGCTTTAGAATGTGATGATTCTGAAGCCCAATCGCACATGATTGCCGATCGAACGGGAAGTCTTGCATCTAAAAGAGTTTTTATCATAATTTATGTCATATATTCCTACCTCTAGCCTACAAGAAGCTATAATAAACATTATCGTCTCATAAAAAATTGTTCCATTCCAGGAAACCCGGGCGTTTCGCTGGTTCTCCGGGAACACATTTTCGAATTTTTGGCTTTACGGGTTTTTTTAGAAAACTTAATCTCAATGAGAACCTGTCCGTAGGCGCGTAATCCGGAATCCACAGCATTGATGCACTAATGTATAGGTTTTCAATCCCGGAGTAGTCCTTAGGATCCCAGCGTAGACGATCGTCGTTCCAATACTGTAAAGGTTTGATTGTGGGAAGGCAAGCTCAAGTTTAAGCCCAAGTCTAGACGTAAGCCGAAGCCCAAGCCCAGGCGAAGCCTAAGCTCAAGCGATGCCTAAGCCCGAGCCCAGGCGAAGCCTAAAGCCCGAGCCCAGGCGAAGCCTAAGCCCAAGCGAAACCTAAGCCCAAGCCTGAGCCTACCCCAAGCTGTTTCGTAAGTGCATGCTACTTAATTTAATTAGAAAATTGACGAAAGTTAGGAACTTACATTTGCCAGCTCAATCACCAAGCTTAGTTGTTGATTTTCGGAATTCTAAACGTCGACATAAAAGTAATTTAAATAATTCCTTACGATTTCTACCAGTCTCATATAGACCATCTCGATCATTAAGTTAATTTGGCCAGCTAAAATAGGCCAGCTAATTTTTACGAAGATAATCAAATTACGTCACCTCGGTCCCCGGAAACCGGCGCCAACTCCTTCGTGTAATTCCCGGAGACGAAAAGCGCATTATATAGCGCTTGGAGATCGTTTGGCTTTGCGGAAGCTTCGTAAACTTTTAGGAACAGTGCCAATAACAAAGCCAACCGCATTGCAGTCCAGAAATTTTCAAAAAAATGGCCCCCACTTGAATTTCTGGCCCAAATAATGCACCGAACCCAGGACGGAAACACGAGCCGCTACGGCATAAAAAGCAATTTCGGGAATTGCCGAGTGAGGTCAGAACGGACCAGATGATTTTGGCTTTTCGAAAACTACCATTTTTAAGCTAAAGGAAGATAACATTTTGTTGAATAAAAAACCCTAAAAAATCCTAATCTCTAAAGGAAGATTTTTGGAGCATTTGGATCGTGTTTCAAACTTTGACAAGCCTGTTTTCAACTCCTTCACTCTACTCAAACCGCTGAAAACTCCAGATTTTTATCTAGCTATTCCCAGATTTTTCTTATTTATGATTTCTGTTCTTTCCCAATTCATCAACAATATCTGCGCCCCCTGCAACCGCTATCATTTCCGCAGCGGGACCAAAAAATGGCGCCGGCCTGCCAATTTTCCGGTTGCCTGATCCGAGATCGTGTGATGATGAGAAATTGAGCTGGCAAAGCTATAGTCTACTCACGCTCTGCAGTTTTGTAATTTCTAAAAAATACGTACGAAAGGTAAAAAGGTAAAAAAAGACCGTTCCTACGCTCTGCGCATGTGTGAAAGATCAACGCAGGCTCTGCATAATAGGCGCAAAAATACACAAAAAACCAAATTCTGTGCATTCACATCCAACCATTTAAACTATTTATTAATTCCCAGAAAATTGTTGCGTGAATTTCCGCTTCGTTCCATCAGTTGACAATGTCAAAAACATCCGTTTCCACAACGTACTTGCCATCAACTTTGCGCCAGTACTAAAACAGTATTAACGCTTTCGTTTTTTAGTCTTAGTATAACGCTGTTAAGTCTTTGAAGTGCTAAAAAACAAAATAATACAGACCTGAATAAAGTTGGTGACGAAAGTTTTGCCGCCCTCGAAGGTGATGGTGCTGGTGGCAGAGTAGCGGATGAGCTGCTCGGAGCCTTCGAAGGTCTCGTTGGTGTTCTTAATAATTATTTACTTCGTTAAATCGTGCTTCTCTCTAAGGTTCTCTCTCTCTCTCTCTCTCTCTCTCTCTCTCTCTCTCTCTAGTTCTCCAAAACCTACGAACCTTGTTGGTGAAGGATCCAAAAGTAGCCCACTCCTTGAAGAGCCCGGTGATGGCTAAAAATATTGTATAAACTTTTCTAGACAAATTGAGACATACCCTCGGTTCCGACAAAAAGTTTGTTCTGCTTGGCGTCGACGATTACAGCGTTGGGAGCGTAGTGGCTAAGGAATCTGCAAAAAATCGGGATACCGCCTAAACAGATGTAACGCGCAGCTGTCTAGTCCTAGTCAAGAGCCTGGGTCGAATTTTTCGCTTCCTGATCCCTTCCAAAAAACTACTAAACGCACTTCTCCAAATCCTTATCCTTGAACGCCTGCTCAACAGCCTCGATTCTGCCGCGGATCAGTCCTTCCAGACTCATTTTGCGCAGAATTCACAAGCGGGAACTAAAAATTTTGTAAACTGAAGTTTCAATCCAAACCCGGCGGAACGCCGGGTAGCAACACTGAATTTTTGCGGCGGTTAATCGGATGAAATTCGACCCGGGCAGCCCTTTTGGGAGAGAAAAATGCCCCGGCAAGGTCGAAATGGAAAAATGCGCGATCGCTCAATTTCGGACCGGGCGGAACGGGCGATGGACAATACTGAGTGATGACGATGGATTGTGATTTGGAATGGAGGTTTTTTGGGGGATTTCCGGCCAACTCGCCGACATTCGACTGGCCGACAGCCAACCCGCCGACAGCCGACTCGCCGACAGCCAACTCGCCGACAAGCCAACCCGCCGACAGCCAACTCGCCGACACTTCGACTCGCCGACAGCCAACTCGCCGACATTTTCAAGTATCCTAGGGTCGACAGAATTTTGATTACACCAAGTTTTCACTGATTTGCTTTCGCACTTTAAATGCAATTTTAGGGTAGGCGCTAAAGGTCGCGCAAAATCGAACCCGCATGGCTAGCCTGAAGCAAGCGCTTTACACCACTAGGCCAAGGCAGGGACGGAAGACGGGAGGTGGAGGCGGGTTATGAAGCGCAGAGTACCCTATGCCAGATTGCAGGATTCTGATCCAAACTTTCATGCTAATTTTGAATTACCGGAACCACCTCCCTAAAATGAATGACTACGGCTCATTTTGACCCCAAAATTTGCATGTAGCAAGATATTTCTGTCGACTCATAAAATACATGAAAATGTCGGCCACTTGGCTGTCGGCGAGTTGGCTGTCGGCGAGTTGGCTTGTCGGCGAGTTGGCTGTCGGCGAGCTGGCTGTCGGCGAGTCGAATGTCGGCGAGTTGTCCATTCACCTTTTTGGGGGTTGTATCTTAAAAGAGCCCTGCTAAATAATTTTAGAGGACTGGGAAATCGGAGCTGTCTTACTGAGTTAGACCTAGGCCGAGGCTTCGCAATAGGCTTCAACTTTGATTCGGATTGGTTCGGATTAACTTCAGCTTTAGCTTAGCTCAGCTCGGACTTAAGCTTATTCGGCCTTAGCTTAAGCCTTGGCTTAGGCTTAGAGCTGACTTGGTCTTTGACTGAGGGAAAACGAGCGAAATAGAAGTAAAGTGTAGTCCAGATCCTTCCCGAACCCAGCGTTGAGTTTTGAAGCCTTTGCGCAAGATGCACCGAGGATAAACAAAAAGTTTCCCATGAGAGCGATGAGAGCAGCCAGAATTTTTTGTTTATTCTTTGGTAAACGGAACGGGCGGAACTTCCCCAAGAAATATAGCTTTTTTTTCTTTAACATTCTTGAGGATGGGAATGAGAAGACCAAAGATCGGCGGATCAGTACACCGAAAAAGTCTCCAAAACACAGTGGTTTCCGGGATTCTGTATTGATCAATAAAAGTAAAAACGAAAGCTTTGTATAGTAAAAGGTGAAAGCGTATTTTTAGGAACAAATCCCAGAACATTCCTTGGTCCCAAACCAACGCACGGCCTGCTTTTATACCCCCAGACCATGCCATTTTGTGTCGACCTTCTGCGCTCTTATGTAGCGGGTACGAAAGGGCACACACAATGCTACGGAAATTTAGTGATGCAAGTAACGTTCCGCTCCAATACACAGATACTTCGGAAAGGCAGGATATGCTCTGATTTGTATCCATTTAAAGTCTAAGAAAGGGAAGGAAGAACTGTTGCTTCAATTTCTGAGAATTTATGGGAATTATTGGAAATTATGGCATGAATCAGCGGCATGACGGCTGACGAACCAAAATATAAAGCGAAACAGTGAGAAAATTTGAAGAAAAATAGATCCATTTTCAAATGCATTTTGCTTTCATATCCATCTTTGTGATATCTGTAAATTTCGAGGCATTGGATGCTATAACGAATGGCATCTGGGTACAAAGCGTCTCGGAATTGCCTTTTGCTGCGCATTTAGAGGTGTATGTCGGGTAAAGAACTGTATTTATTAGCTTAGCAGATCTATGTAGAACCGAATCCTCCACTTGCGGGGCTTCAATTATTCACGAAGAATGGATCCTGACAGCGGGGCATTGTTTACATGGCTTGTGGGTTCCTAAAGACCAAAAATTGTCAAAATGATAAAAACAAAAAGATCAAAATTGCTACTTCTAGAGCCTGTTCGAGCCTTTTAAGGTCCAATAGTGTACAAAATCGAATAAATTTTGTTTTAGAACCTCAAAACCTTCTGATGTGATAGTTCGAGTTGGCGATATCGATCCAGCATCCAAAAATATTGTAAGAAATAGCAGGAAAATTTGAAAAACGGATTTGAACAAATTTAGCAAGCAATCAGAGCCTCCTCCCTCCACGTTCACCCCGACTACCACTTCGAAGAAGATTACGCGATCAATGGAAAATACGAATTTCCGGTGAACGATATTGCCCTCATAAAGGTAGGGATTTTTTTGTCGAAATACTGTTCGTTTCAATATTTATTTAGCTGTCCCGTCGTCTGGTTTTTTCGCGGAACATTCGGCCCATAGCAATCGCCAACAAGAACGAGAACTTTCCAGAAGCAGGAGTTGACGCTCGGGTTATTGGATGGGGAGGGAAGAGTGGTAGGGCATTACTGCGTATGGGAGCCTGGAGAATTTTAGTCTTAGGCTTAGGCTTAGGTTTATGCTGTCGTTTAGGCCTAGCCTTGGACATTGGGTAGGCTTTGACCCACGGCTGGTTAGATTTAGGCCTTGGCTTAGGCCCATGATTAGGCTTCAGGTTAACTTGGGCTTGGGTGCAAAATTCAAGCATTGCTTACCGTCAAGCTGACTTGTTACTCTACTTTAGTACTATACCAAGCTTGCAGTTTTTAGGCTCCGAAGGTTCCGAGAAGCTCCTATGTACGACCGTAGAGCTATGGAGCTATTGGCACTGCACACAGCAGTTCCCCGGAAAACTTTTGAAGTCAGCCATTTGTGCCTTCAAAAAGGGCAACGGACCTTGTGAGGTGGGATTCAATTAATGGAGTCAAATTTCCATCTATGGCTGCAGTAATCTGGAGAGTTTAGGGAGATTCCGGAAGCCCGCTTTTTCTGAACCACAATGGGACTCGAATCCAAATCGGTGTTGTCTCCAGTGGCCTGGAAGATGAATGCACTAATGAGAAGTATGCTTGTGAGTCGAGGTCTCTGAACTACAATACTTTCGGCAACATTTAGCCTCCTACACCGAAGTGTCGAAATTTTGCGCGTGGATCGAGCTGACGGTTAAGGAGAAGATTTGCCTTTACACTTGAGAAGGCTTGAACGACCCGTTAATACCCCCGAAACGTTCGGCACGATCCTATAAAAATGAATTCGCAGCTTTAAGAATTTAAATGGCGTATTAATTTGTCTCAAAGATACAGTCACCGGAACGCTATGCCATACAGGGTGTCCCAAAAAAACGAACCATCTGGCATTTCGCCCTGTTGCATCCTATCGGCCCCAAATTTGGACAAGAGGTGTATAACACCCTCAATAACAACAATCCTGACTTCGAGCCTCATAGCTACAGTAGTTCTAGAGTTATAACGCAAATACTCTTTTTTTGCGCAATTGTCAACAGTTATTTCGGCTAACTTTTTGAACATTGCATCGATTTGCATCGGCTTCCGATCACCAATCCCTAATTTCGTTTAGTTCTTGTGTAATTTTAAGTTGTAAAACTCTCGTTTAAATTGACGCTTTTTACATAAATTTAGTCAGGAAAAAATTCTTAAGGTAAAGAAGGTCTGCAGAATCATTTTCGCTTAATATGTAGGGAGTTGATCCTACGGAAATCTTATGAAAAACGGAAGATAAAGTTTGTTTTTACTGTAGCTAAAAATCTACCTTAGCTATGGGGGCTAGCAGTCAGGATCGTTGTTATTTAGGGCCCGATACGCCTTTTTTGCGACACACTATAGTCTGCCTTCTTGCAAAGATCCCATCTGCATCTGGACGACCCAATTCACGCGTCACTCACAAGCGCCAAGCAGGAAAAATACAATGCAGGCGCGTAAAAATGGTTGATTTGTGGGCTCGGGCGCCTCATTAAAACACGTCTTGCATGGATACCGGGAATTCCCCTTTATTAAATTGAATTATTGCACGTTTATCCAATTCATGGACTCGACTCTACTCCTTTGTCTTACTTTGTTGCAGGTAAAAGTTTGTTAGGTATGCTTTATTTCGAAGCTTACAGCTTTTCTATGCTCATGAAACCGTGTTGCTTGTTCCGCTAACATCAACGACCACTATATCGTCAGAGTTGATCGAGAATTGTACTTCTACATGTCTGGAGAGCCAGCCAGAGTTTTGCGTCGGGTTTTTTATTGAAAATGGTATAGCTTAAAATGTTCCTAAAATCTGTTAAGACATCTGCGAGCTAATCACGAATCGCAGCGATACTACCCTGAATTTCTATATTTATGATCGAAACGATGACTCGAAATTATCATGTCCTGGTGAAAGCATTGCAGAGGAAATTGCAACGGATGGTATTCAACGGGAGAGAGAGAGAGAGAGAGAGAGAGAGAGAGAGAGAGAGAGAGCGCGAGAGCAGTAAAAACCCCTTTTTAGGAACCTGGAGTGAGTGGGGTGCCTATTCGGACTGCTCGATGACATGCGGAATGTACGGGACCCAGATGCGGAATCGGTGTTGCCCACCTGAGCCGGAAACTCGGGGCTATTATTGCGTGTACGGTTTAAAGGGTTTTCTTTGTTTTATTTATGGAATCTTAGGGGAGATGCCGTTGACGTGGTCGCCTGCCCGACAGCACTTTGTATGGGACCGACACAACTACCGTGCTATTCGCCCTACTATCAAAAGGGAATCCTGGCCGGCACGCGGGGGTTCAGCTGCATAGCTTCACCAAATACTACGGATCCAAGGCTTGAGGATTGAGATATCGCTTTCTTTTCTTTCTTTCTTTCTGTCTTTCTCTCTCTCTCTCTCTCTCTCTCTCTCTCTCTCATCATCCCAACATCCGAAGCTTCCTGCAAATCTGTGATTTCTTGTTATATCACATTGGCGAAAAATTTGCATAAATTTACGAAGGACTCTTCTACACGATCTTTGCAACCCCTAGCATCCTTGCTGTACCTGCTTTGCACACCTCTCCTTACGTCAACGATCAGTCGGTCTGCAAAAACCCTATAAGCCCCTATTATTCATCATTCAAGCGTGAAACCAATTAACAATCATCGGCGCCTGGTAACGACTAAAATCCCGCTCCTCTGAAGCTCACGAAAATCACTTTTTGGCTCGTTCAAATGCTGTTTTTATTGGGAGTGTGGTTTTTGGTGGGGTATAAGCTATTGTTGACACTGTGCTCGTTTTAGATGTTGGCAACTTATCGTGCTGTACTTGTGATGCCTATTGGTCCATACGGCGATTCTCTACAAAGGGATGAGATCGATAATTGTACCTTGGATTGCTTGAACAGCTCGGAGTTTTGTGTCGGATTTTATATCGAGACTGGTACGCCTAGAAATCGAGCGTAAAGGTATCTAGGTATCTGCGAGTTAACGACGAACCGCAGTGATGATAGGATGAATTTTTACATATATGACCGAAGCGATGAATCGACACTTGCATGCCCTGATCGGAGTATTCAGGAGCAGGTTGCTAATGATGGTAAGAAGTCCAATCTTAAGCCCAACCTGAAGCCTATCAAAGTCTAAGCCTAAGCCCAGGCCTCAAATCTTTAAAGTCTTATAACCTGCAGGGAACTGGAACGAATGGGGCGAATTCAGCACTTGTTCGGCAAGTTGCGGCATGAACGGGATTTACCAGCGGACGAGGACCTGCCCCACAGAACCTCAGGGACGAGGCTACGGTTGCGTGTAAGTTTTCTCGCTCTCTCCTATTTATCTCTCTGTCTCCCCATCCTTCGTTCAACCTCTGACTCACTCAAAATTGACTGGTCCTTCCCCTAAGGTGCTGGGAAGCCCGAAATGTGTTCTGTACTTTACCCCCCTATTAATGCTCCTCATTTTCAGCGGCAGCACGCTGGATCTCGAAGCATGTCCGGAAAATTTGTGTTATTTTCCTGCCAATGACTGTCATGAAAATTATCGAAAGTGGCTGGACAAAGTGAAGACGAAGGACTACACTTGTCAACTCATACCCGGGGCCGTCGATCCGCGACTAGAGCAATGAGAAAGTAAACGTCAAAAAAAAAATTTGTCCAACCATCGACTAAGTATTTTGAGCCGAATAAATAAGCTGAGCTATTTACAGGTGACAAAGAAAGCTCTGAGGTTTTTGAAGGACCAAAAGGACAAAATTATCTCATCAAAAATCGTCAGTGAAACGTCCTGAGCTCATAAAACTTATCCGTAATTAGTATATCGTGGAAAACGCACCATTCTACACACGTCACATTCCTACACGAGGATGACAAGCGCCTGGAAACCATTGAAATGGGCATAATAAAACATATAGCCGCTTGAGGATGGACATGCTAGCGGCAAAGACCAACCCCGAAATGGCATACAAATTTCTTTTTATTGCTGTTTTGTTTCTTGCTGTAAGTTTTTCCCTTTGCATCGGATACCAATAGTTTTCAGTATTTTGTAGTTCAACCTTACGTCGTAGTGCTCGTATCATCAAGTGCTACCGTATCCTACGCACAAATCGAGAATTGTACAATTGCCTGCTTGGAGAATGAAGAGTTTTGTGTGGGCATGAATTTTGTGGGTGGTGAGTTGTAACTTGACGTACCAGAAAATATAAAGTTTTGGGCTTTGAATGCATATTTAGACGAGTGTATACTTGTTACGGACAGGAGTGCCGCGATCGAATTCTACGTCTATGACCGGAACCAAATCTCGACACTAGGTTGTCCTGGTGGGGATATCTCGACGGAGGTGGCAAATGATGGTAAGAGAGAGAGGAGAGAGAGAGAGAGAGAGAGAGAGAGAGAAGGCTAGAGAGAGCGAAGAGGAGAGAGAGAGAGAGAGAGAGAGAGAAGGAGAAGAGAGAGAGAGAGAGAGAGAGAGAGAGAGAGAGAGAGGTAAAGCTACTTGAAATGGCCGAAGTCTGAGAGTCTAGATGTCTCGAGAAAAATAGAGAGCGAGAAAGAGATTTTCGGAGAGAGAGAGCGAAAAATGATAAAAAGAAGGGTGAGCAGCGGATATCCCGCTAGAGCGGCAGCGCAAAAGACTTGGCGAGATGAGGCAGGGAGAATCAGCCAGAGAGAGTGAGCGAAAGCGAGAGAGAGTGCGAGAAAGAGCCAGAGAAAGCGAGAGAGCGAGCAGAAGCAAGACCATACGCTTAGGCTTAGGCCTTGTCTGGGCTTAGATTTGAACTTGACTCCGTCTTAAAGGAAATTGGAACAGCTGGGGCCCATCTACCGAATGTCCAGCAACTTGTGGGATGAATGGTGTCTATAGCCATAACCGGACTTGTCCAACCGAACCGCAGACCCGCGGCTACGAGTGCGAGTGGGTTTTTCAAACGATTTTTAGTATTATAACCCAGCCTACACCAAATTTTGCATATTAAACTCAACTTCAGTGGCAGCACCATCGAATACTTGGCCTGTCCGGACCCAATGTGCACGTTCCCGAACGTAAGCTGCTATGAGGAATTCTACACTAAAAAGCTGAACACGACATCGAGAATATACACTTGTCAATTGAAGCCGGGTGCGGTTGATACAAGACTCGAACAAGGTGTCGAAGACTAAAATATACTTAACCGAAATTGATTATGGAAAAAACTATTTTGGTTCAATAAATCTTCTATTTTTCTCGCTGTTATGCGCAAAAATTGCTGACAAGGAAGCCAAAATTTGGGCGACAATGGAGTTGACTTGCACCCAGAGGTTGCGGCTCTATTTCCAGCGGTAGCACGTGCTTATCACTGAAAACGGGAGCCCTTCCACCCCGATTAGTTGATGTGAGCATGTCGTGTCGACGAAAACTGATTGAGTGATTGTCGACGTTACGAGGAGGCGGTGTTCTTTCGTCTTTTTGGAAATACACGGCAATTTAAAGTTCAAATTTTCTAATTTATCCTGGCTTGAGCTTGGAATTAAGCCCACGCCTGAGCCTAAGCTTAAGCCAAACCTAAGCCTAAGCCCAAAACTAAGCCTAAACCGAAGCCTAAACCTAAGCCGAAGCGTAAGCCTAACCCAAGCCGAGCCTAGGAGACTTGACTTCTCGATACCTTTAATGTATAAATCTGAAGCAAACCGTTTTTCCAAGCTTTGTTGATCTACAACGAACCTTTTTGACCTCACCTATCTCTTTAGCGTCTCCCAAAAACACGAACACCTCTTCTCGTTCCGCTTCACCCCCCAATCCTCCCCTCCAATGAGCCCGGGCTCTTCCGTGGTTAGGGTGCATCGATCTCGGCGCCATCTTTTTGGCTGCCCCCGCTCTGCCCACACATCACCACTTCACCAAGGGTTCCTTTTGCACCTATTCACGCAATTCGTCTCGATCTCAGATGTTTGTGGGCGAGGGATATTGATAGACGCGCGGAATTTTTACTTCCGGTGTACTCGCTTCCAATTAGAGGGTAAAAATCAGCGGTATTTACGGCCCTAAGATAGAATTCACAATTTCGCCATAATTTTTTTGAATTTCGATTGTTAGAAAAGCCAGCAAATGTTGAAAAAAGGCTTTTGAGAATTTAGATCTTCAAAAACCTTGTTCCGCTTAGCACGGATTGAAACGTTATCTTCCTTTTCTTTATACAATTAAGACAAGACAATTCCATGCGAAGTACACGATTCAGAAAACCCAAAATTTCATTTCTCCTCTTGAACTTTGTCTCAATAATTTTTGTCATTCCCGCCCCGCACGAAATGTCGTTTTCCTTCTCAACCCAAAACAACGTTCCATCGTTCAAAAAAAGCCGCTTCAATTCCTCAATCCAATCAACCACCTCTCCGCGGAAAAGAGCAAAAATTTTCGTTTTTTGTTCTGTTTTCGCTGGCGCCGCGAAAATCGAAGACAGCTGTTCTGGTGGCGTTTTTTGGGGAATGGCCGGGAGTGTTGTCCGGTTTGACCTTACCTGTTCGAAGTGAAAGTATTTGGGCAGTAATTTTTTTATTGGATTTTCCGTTACTTGATTGTTTATTAGATTGGATTGGATATTTTATTTTACTCTATGAATATGTTTTTTACGCCAAAACAACTTTCAAAAATTTCAGGAGCCCAAGATGAAACTTCTCAAAAACCGGCTTCGGATACTCATCGTATTGTCCGCATTTCTATGCCTATCAATGCTAGCCTCAAATTATATAATCGTTAATATGACGTTTATTTGTATGCAAGAAGATCTTTCTGATGCTGTTATTAATCAAAATGGCGTAAGTTAGCGCTAAAAACCTTCGAAAACTATTGTTTGTTTGTTTTTTTATTTGCTTTACCTTGTTATTAACAAAATATAGCGAAACCTGCACTAAAAATACTGCAATCTAACACTAAAAGTTTATTCATATTTTTTTTCAGACCCTAGTAAGCCGCTACGCCTACGATCCATCCGAAAAAAGCTTAATCATCTGGGCGGTGGCCCTGGGGACGATTATTGGCACTTTTCCCTACAACATGGCATTTATTCGATGGGGCGCGAAGTAGGATCCAGCTACCGTAACTCATATCTTTTCTTTAGATACCCTTTCCTGTCCGCTGGAATACTATCGACGGTAGCTACGCTATTGATACCTTATACTGCTTCTGTTAGTTTGCCTGGACTGCTCGTTTTGAGAGTTATACAGGTAAGATATGTGATTTTAAAATTCTTAAGGTGATTCGTAAGCAAAGCCTAAACCTAAGAATAAGTCTAAGCCTAAGCTTAAGCCTAATCCTAAGCCTAAGCCCAAGCCTTTATCCCAACTTTTAGGGCATCACCTACTCAGCCGATTTCTCTGCCATCGGCGTCGTTACCGTACGCTGGGCTCCTGTGAACGAAACGAGCCTGATTATCGCAGTCATGACCTCCTTCGTCACATTCTCAACATTTGTAACAAATACCTCATCCGCTTGGGTAAGAGAAATTACTGTTAATAAAAAAATCTATCGTAGTTTTGCAGCTCGATCGGGTGGAGATGGGCTTTTTACTCCCATGGCATTGCTACCGGGCTAGTTTTTATTCGTGAGTTTTTGCTGGATGTCTCAAATAATCTCTGCTAGCTTGCCTTCTTGATCTTTTTCGGGGTAGGCACATTAATAGGCGAGAAAACCTGGTTTTGCGTCGGCCGCTTCGGCATTAATTTCGGCTCTTCTTAACAAACCGTCGGACCGGATCGCTTTTTCAACACCAAGAACCTCTCCTGGCTTGCCTTTTTCCAGATTTCGGCGAAAAATGAATTGATGAAAACCGGGTCCTTTTAGTCTGGATGTTCGTCTACCGCGACGATCCCACTTCGCACCCAAAAATTACCAAAAAAGAGCTCGCAAAGCTGCAGGAGAACAAGACCAATGCAGAATTAGAGGTTGATCACTACGTGCCGTTTATGGTAGGTTCTAAAATAATGTCTTGCGTTTGGAACGTCGTAAACAGCAAAAAATTTTAGAGACCAACTATAAGTAACCGGATCTACCGGATTTTCAGGCAATCCTGAGCAATCTCCCGGTATGGGTGATCTGCCTGAACGGCTTGGCTTTGATCACCACCCTGACGCTGATTATGACGTACATGCCAATGTACCTACACCTGGTAAGTAAGCGGTTCATTTTTAACCTGAAAATTACCGAATCATTCCGGCATTTAGGTGCTCAAATTTGACGTAATGACGACGGGAATGCTTGCCGCCGTTGGTGCCTTCAGCCATGCGCCCATTAAATATTTTTCGGGGTATTTTAGCGATAAGTCGAAGTAAGGAACCCTTAATAAAGATGTGCAAGGGATTTAGGGCTTTCTCCGAAGCTACCAAGCTCCAAATATGCAACTTCTTCGCTCTATGCCTTCCTGGAGTATTCTTCATCTTGCTTGGCGTAATGAAAGATGCGTTTAACGGAATATTAGCTGTGGTATGTTTTTAAGGCTGTGCTTCTCTCCCCATCTCTCTCTCTCTCTTTCTCTCTCTCTTTCTCTCTCTCTCCCTCTCGCTCTCTCTCACCTACAATTTTTCTTTCAGGTCCTCTTCTTCGCCATCTTTATCTCAATGGGCGCAAATTGTGGCGGGTACTGGAAGGCAGCCACCGTAGTCTCAAAGTAAAAGCTGCCCCAGTTACCGTAATCGAATTCAGACAATATGCCCACTTTGTCCTCTCCATCATCCAGTTTATGAAGTGCGTGGCCTTGATCACAGCTCCTTGTAGCTGGTATCTGTTTGTGGAGAATGAGACAGGTGAGCAGCGGTCAAGAAAAAACCGCAAAATGTATTTTTTAGACATCCGGCAATGGTCCCATGTTTTTTATTTAAATGGTGGATGCTTGATTTTTGTAAGTTATATTTATTAAAGTCACGTGAACTTGCCAATGGCAGTTCTGCTGCCTCAAAATTAAGCACGAGTGACGCTCGCATTAATGCGTGAAATCACACGAATCCTTATTACAAGAACAGGCCCTTGGTAGTATCGCAACGAGTCGTACCTTACGATGCTATTTACGCACCTTAAACAATTTTTTCTTTCAGGCCGGTGGTCTCTTCTACGTCTGCTGTAACGACCAACCGGCTGAATTTACAAAAATGACCCGATCCAACCCGCGTGGCGACAAAGTCGACGCAGAAGCGCTCAGCATCTTGGAAGACAAAAATTCCGTCTAGATTTGGCCCTATCATACCTTATTACCAATTGTCCAAATTCCGAAAATCCGGATCCCAGAACTTACCCTAATCTCCAAATTTGTCTAGTCACAGACCACATAACATCGGGTTCTTAATTTTCGCAGATTTGGTATGCAAAATGGATAAATAGAAAATTCATTCAGCACTTTATTAACGGTACACACAGAGAAATCGTAAACTGTCTTAAAAACTGGTTAAACTCGTCGGTCAGTCCCTCGTGAGGTGGTGCGTGGTGACGCGGGAGCCGCACTGCGAGCTGCGCGTCTCGATCAGGTAGATTTCCTAAAAAGAAAAGCTTAAAAATTCAGCGTCGCCACCTAAGCCTAAGCCTACCTACCGGAACTCGACGATTCTCCTCGGCCTCCACGATGCGCATGTGCTTGTGCGCACGGTAGACGCGGCAGTAGCCCGTCAGGAACAGCTGAAAAATTTTATATTCTCCTGTTGATTAAGTTAATATAACAAGATTTAAATTTATAAGCACAATTATTAAACCCACAAAAACAATGGTGTTGAACAGCATGCCGCCGAGGCCCAGCCAGTAGAAAGGCACGTAGCCTGGGGGGGTCGTCGATGGGGGCCCGACTGTCCATCGCGAGGGTGAGGCGAGGTGTGACTCAAAATTTGAGGGGATGCCTGCATTCAAATTTCTCGATTCGTAATACTCTCTCTCTCTCTCTCTCTCTCTCTCTCTCTCTCTCTCTCTCTCTCTCTCTCTCGCTCTCTTTCTCGCTCGATCTTGTCTCCGAGCAATGTTGGAAAAACTTTATCAGCAAAAACCAATCCATAAAAAAAAACATAAAAACGGCAACGAATCGTAAAAAATCAACAAAATATGTACAGTAATACATAAATATTAAACTAATGGACGGAATTTTCGCTTAGAATCGTCCCATCGCGAAATCGCTGAGCATCTGCGGGAAGCAGGGGTCAAAGCCCTGGAAGTCCATCTGAAAGGTTTAGGATAAACTGTAGTTCAATTTTATGGTTCATTTGTTATAGAACACTACCATTCCCGCTTCGTCCGGGTCGGCGATGCTGAACGAGTTTGAGCACATGCCCAGCACGGCCAGTTTGGCGTCATGGATTCCGGAGGCCTTGCGGTACTCGAGGAGGGCTTCGTGGGGGTGGATCTGGATTTATATATATTTATACTTTATGCATTTATAGAGCTCCTCACTTTTCCATAGTACGTCTCATTATCCGTAAAAACGACAAAGCAGTCGAACTGCTTCTTGTACTTTTTCGCCCAAACCATCGGCAGGAGCAGTCGGTGGCTCCAAATCTAAATAAATTGCGTTGTGCTAAACCTATACATAAACCTAAGCCTAAGCTTAAGCGAAGCCTAAGCCTAACCTAAGGCTAAGCCCAATCCCAAGCTTACTTACCTGAGCTTATCAAAATAGGTTGTAGCCTGCTTCAACGTCCACTCGTTGGCCTCCCAAGGGATCTCGACAAGGCTATCGCAAAACGCCACGGGTTCTACCTAAAATTCTCCGAATATTTTTGAGCTCTAGCTCCCTACATGTTCCTCGGTCTTCATCCCGATCATCCCCATCGCTACGGAAGCTGTACGGGCCGAAATTGTGGTTCCCAAGACCTCCTGGGTCATGCTGCCTAGAAAAAGATAATTAATCGGGAAATCGCATCAAAGAAAAATTTTATCTCGGCCTGAAAAGAGAGAGGGAGAGAGAGAGAGAGAGCGAGAGAGAGAGCGCGAGAGCGAGAGAGCAAAAAAGTTATAGAAACAGCAAACATCGTACCCGAGACGTCAAAGGCGAAGCAGTAGCGTTTACCAGTTGGGACGACGTTCTTGAAGGAGATGTGGAAGGCCTAAAGGTTTCACTCATAAGGAGTGCTTTTTTTTTGAGTCATACGCAAATCATTTCCAAAGATAGTGTGTTCGATGGAGAATTTCATTCTGAGTAACGCTATAAGGTTCATTTTTGCAGAATGGCTGTCCCCGATTTTATAAAATTAAAAAACTAAATCGGCGTTTTCCTACATCCCTCGGTGCGCATCCATGGCAGGCATGGCTAGCCACCGGGACAAGGGGGGCCTAGATGGCTTGCCAATCATGATTGGCGATAGCTCAGTCGGTAGCGCGGTTGTCTTTGAAACTTTTTTGGACTTCTCTGGGAGGTTCGATTCTTCCATGTGTAATTCCTTTTGCTTTTTGAATTTTTATAGCGGTGTATGGCTTTTTGGCTTCAATTACCATGGAATCCGCTCTATGAGCATGCACGACTATAGTGACCGGTAAACAGTGACAAGGCTCGGGCCTGGAGACTTCACTTTGATCAACTTTGAAGCAATTGCCAACTCAAAAACGCAAAAATCACATCCCTATGTACGGAAACGCAATTGACCATCAAAAAAGCAAAAGGAATTACACATGGAAGAATCGAACCTCCCAGAGAAGTCCAAAAAAGTTTCAAAGACAACCGCGCTACCGACTGAGCTATCGCCAATCATGATTGGCAAGCCATCTAGGCCCCCCTTGTCCCGGTGGCTAGCCATGCCTGCCATGGATGCGCACCGAGGGATGTAGGAAAACGCCGATTTAGTTTTTTAATTTTATAAAATCGGGGACAGCCATTCTGCAAAAATGAACCTTATAGCGTTACTCAGAATGAAATTCTCTATCGAACACACTATCTTTGGAAATGATTTGCGTATGACTAAAAAAAAGCACTCCTTATCAGCTTTGTAGCTATGGATTTTTGGTCTACATTTAAGATATATCGCTGAGAATGATGGTTTTACCCCTGCAAGCCTACCTTCTCGAGGGCGGTGACAATCTTCTGGTTCGGCGCCCAGGCTAGCTTGCCCTTATCTCCCTGTCCGCGATTATACTGCTCATGAGCAACAAGAATCTAAAAAGCAGATTTTACCCGAAAGCCAATGAAGGTGTGCCAAGAAGTTCAAGGAGAGTTCACCTGCATCGGGTGGATTCGCGACCCATAAATGGCCTCCGCGTTAGTCAACTGCTCGCAGACACTCTTCACGTTATCCCTGGGTTCAGAAGTGAAGTGGCACCAAAGGAATCTTACGAATCGATGACGTTGATGGCCGTCATCTTCGCCAGGTTCCGGATGAGAGCGTTCATTGGCATCCCGTTTAGCAGTGCTTTCCAGATGGGGACAGAGTTCAGGAGCTCGGGTGGGATGTGCTCTCGGACCATGCCTAAATGGAGACGTAGAGAGAGAGGGAGAGAGGGAGAGCGAGAAAGAGTGCTCTTACCTAGCTTATGAATAGCCGCAACCACATCATACTCATCCGTACAATTGGCAAAGCTCTTGTACGTCTCGACCAGCTCGAGGGCCCATGATTCTTGCTCCCTTTAAATCATGCGTTTCAAATTCAAAAATATCTAACTTACTTTTCCATCTGCTTCTCAGTCGGCTTCTGCGCGAGCTGATCAAGTTCGGCCTGAGCATAAGTTCGCTTCCTCTGCTTCAACTCCCCCTTGGCGATGTAGTGGAACAACTGCTCGCGCTCCAGGTAGTGGTCATCGTCAGCCGAGTATTTTAGCTGCAACATATTGGAAAATCAGAGAAGGTGATGTTCATCTACCGCAGGATGGGCAAGTCGGAAGAGGTCGCGGTGGGACCAACCTCCACGCTGCTTGTACTTCGTGATGGCCATGGCGATTTGGCGTGGGGACTTGGTGGCGTACCTAACAGGTGATTATGATTTAGAGAGAGAAAGGGGGAGGGAAGGGAGAGGGGGGGGGGGGTGGGACGCGGGGAAGGGGGGGGGGGGGCAGGGAGAGGGGGGAGAGAGAGAGAGAGAGAGAGAGAGAGAGAGAGAGAGAGAGAGATAAAATCCAGAGCCGTAAAGTAACAAATCCGTCACCAAAAATCCACTCACCAATCCCTAATGGCAGCTCGAAAAGCCCGCCCCCACCCTGTTGACCCCTTCGGATTCGCCGAGTGCTTGGCCACCTTCTCGCAGTAGTCGACGAATATGAATAAATGAGTGGGAATTCGGCAGACCTAAGGAATTTCCCCTTTTTCCGTATACAGTAGTGTAACGTACCTGCGTAATCAGTTCCAATGCAGTTGCATGCATGGCCTTCAAATATTCCACGTACAACTTGGCCGGCTCGGAGTCGTAGCCTTCGCCTTTCACCTGGCCGGTACGGTATCTAAAGTAGGATTATATATTCAAGCGTATCGTATCGTACTGCCTACTAAACTTTACGGTATTGTACCGCACTGTACTGTATCGTACTGTAACGTACGGTATCGGTTACAGGGTATTCTAATCTACTGTACCTCGCGCACACGGCCAAGGCAGACATGACTGGCTCTTGTTTTGGGTTTCGTCCAGCCAGCGAGATTTCCTTGATTTCCTGAAGTATCATCGAGGCGTTTCCTCAAAAATATTTTTCTTCACTAACTTTCAGTCCAATAATTAAGCATGCAAGGAATACGTACAAAGTCCAAAACTGCGCTATTTCCTACCTTGATCAATAATTTTCATCAAATCCACCAGATTCTCGACAGTCAGCTCCTTTGCGCTAAGATAGAATGCCCCTCCGGTAGTTCCTAGACATGTGTTACTACTACCTGCTTACAACTTACCCATAATCAAAAATCTGCGCACACGGGTCTCATCCGATACCTTGAAGACGTACCCGCCGGCGTTGTTCTTGGTCTGCTTCTTGTTAACCTTCGTCTTCTGGCTACGATCACGCGTCACGTCCGCCACTAGAAGGCCGGCTACATCAACCGCTTTCTCCCTCCCAGATGGTTTTAAAGTTTCTACGGTGACCTCGAAGCCTCCCAGGTCGGAGAAGGACATCTGAAAGATTCTCTTCCGGTTTATAGAAACCCGACGGTTGAAAGAATTCCGAAACAGTACTCACAACAACTTTTTCGACACCCCTTGAAGCCGCCTCCTTGGCCAGCAACTTTCTGAGCTGCTTCCCGACGAGGGCCAACTTCTCGTGATTTGACATTTTGGCTGTA